CTAGCAGACCATACTCTGCAGTCAAGCTGCAGGGAGCAGGATGTAAGGCAGAAGCATGATAAATGCTTCTAGTGTGAACACACCAACCCCTGCAAAATCCTTGCCATGCTAACCTAAGCAAATCTTCCCCTGTGAAATAAGTTATACCAATGACAGCCACTATTTCAGCAATGGAAGCCATGCTGATTACAAATCTTGCACCTGCCAATATTGAGACAACATGAAGCTGGCATATCTGGAACATTAACAAGCTTTCTTATGCATGTTTAGTGCCTGGCAATAACACTCCTCATCTCCAAATGTTATCTGGTATAATTTTATTAGTGTATGGGTGAAGCAGCATGTAACATCAGTGGGCTTAATTTCTTTTTGGTCTGATTTCACTCCCTCCATTTCCCCTGAAACAAGCTGTCCATTTTCTTTCCAAGCTAGCAGTGCAAGGGTGCATCAAGCATACGGAGATGGTTAGCTTTTCCTGTTAGCTTAAGCATGTCAGTCTAAATTGTGGTACCTTTCTGGTTTAGTTTCCTCAAAAGGCTACCACACTGTGCTTTGCTGCATGGCCATGCTCAACAGTTCTTATAACCTGTTTTGCAAATGCTGTTTGTGCCTGAGGTTGGCTCCATAAACTGCTGCTGCTTGAGCAGGTCCTGCCTTTCTTCTTGGCATCAAATACAGCAGCAAAAGCAGACAGTGAGAACTGTAGCCTGTTCCAACTAACTCACACGTAAATGCTTAATTCATTAAGAGTAGGATGCCTATGCATGTATCACTAAATGGTTTGGGTTGGAACAGACCTTTAAAAGTCACCTAGTCCAACCACTGAAAGTAATGAAAGGCCACAATAAAGTCTCCCCAAAGGCTTCAGGGGGTTGGAACTAGAGGATCTTTAAGGTCCCTTCCAACCCAAACCATTCTGTAATTCTGTGATTCTAACTCTCTCATAGGAGAGGTGTTCCAGCTCTCTGATCATCTTTGTAACCCTCCTCTGGAGTCACACAAGCAGGTCCACATTCCTCTTCTATTAGGAGCTCCAGAGTTGAATGCAGTACTGCAGGTGGGGTTTCATGAGATCAGAGAAGAGGGGGAGAATCACCTTCCTTGACCTGCTGGACACACTCCTTTTGATGCAGCCCAGCATATGGTTGGCTTTTTGGGCTCTGAGCGTACATTTCTTGGCTTATGTCCAGTTTTTCATCCAACAGTACCCCCACACTTCTCCACAGGATTGCTCTCAATCTCTTTATCCCCCAGGCAGTATAGACACTGGCGGCTGCTTGGATCCAGGTGCAGGACCTTGCATTTGACCTTGTTGAAGTTCATGAGGTTTGTGTGGGCCCACTGCTCAAGCCTGTCAAATGATGCATTTTCAAGAATGCTTAAGCAACATGAAAACACTTTTCAAAGGCAACTTGGAAAAACTAGCATTTTAGCTAGTTACCAAGAAGTAGCTACCAAGGAGAGGATCTGGTTTGAGACCATCTTAAGAACCTGAATGTGCACAGTTCCATGGGACCTGATGAAATCCATCTGCAGGTCCTGAAGGAGCTGGTGAATGAAGCTGCTAAGCCACTGTTCATCATATTTGAAAAATCATGGCAGTCAGGTGAAGTTCCTGACGACTGGAAAAAAGGGAATATAACCCCCATTTTCAAGAAGGGGAAAATGGATGACCCAGGGAATGACAGATCAGTCAATCTCACCTCTGTGGCCACCAAAATCTTAGAGCAGATTCTCCTGGAAGGCATGCTAAGGCACATGAAAAACAACAAGGTGCTTGGTGACAGCCAGCATGGCTTCACTAAGGGGAAATCCTGCCTGACCAAGTTGGTGGCCTCTATGATGGGGCCACAGAACTGATGGACAGGGGTAGAGCAGTTGATGTCATCTACCTGAACTTGTGTAAAGCGTTTGACACTGTCCCACACGACATCCTTGTCTCTAAATTGGAGAGACATCAATTTGATGGATGGACCACTCGGTGGATAAAGAGCTGGCTGGATGGCCGCACACAAAGAGTTGTGGTCAATGGCTCAATGTCCAGCTGGAGACCAGTAATGAGTGGTGTCCCTCAGGGATCGGTGTTGGGACCGGTCTTGTTCAACATCTTTGTCGCTGACATGGACAGTGGGGTTGAGTGCGCCCTCAGCAAATTTGCCGATGACACCAAGCTGTGTGGTTCGGTTGATATGCTGGAGGGAAGGAATGCCATCCAGAGGGACCTTGACATGCTTGTGAGATGGGCTGATGCCAACCTCATGAAGTTTAACCATGCCAAGTGCAAGGTCCTACACCTGGGTCGGAGCAATCCCAGGCACAGCTACAGGTTGGGCAGAGAAGAGATTCAGAGCAGCCCTGCGGAGAAGGACTTGGGGGTGCTGGTTGATGAGAAAATGATCATGAGCTGGCTGCAGTGTGCACTTGCAGCCCAGAAAGCCAGCCGTATCCTGGGCTGCATCAAAAGGAGAGTGACCAGCAGGTTGAAGGAGGTGATCCTGTCCCTCTGCTCTTGTGAGACCTCACTTGGAGTATTGTGTGCAGTTCTGGTGTCCTCAACATAAAAAGGACATGGAACTGTTGGAACAAGTCCAGAGGAGGGCCACGAGGATGATCAGGGGACTGGAGCACCTCCCGTATGAAGACAGGCTGAGAAAGTTGGGGCTGTTCAGCCTGGAAAAGAGAAGGCTGTGTGGAGACCTCATAGCAGTATCTGAAGGGGGCCTATAAGGATGCTGGAGAGGGACTCTTCATTAGGGACTGTAGTGACAGGACAAGGGGTAACGGGTTAAAACTTAAACAGGGGAAGTTTAGATTGGACATAAGGAAGAAGTTCTTTATTGTAAGGGTGGTGAGGCACTGGAATGGGTTGCCCAGGGAAGTTGTGAATGCTCCACCCCTGGCAGTGTTCAAGGCCAGGCTGGACAAAGCCTTGGGTGAGATGGTTTAGTGTGAGGTGTCCCTGACCATAGCAGTGGGGTCGGAACTTGATCATAAGGTCCTTTCCAACCCTAACTATTCTATGATTCTATGATTCTAAGAAGCCTACTTATGTACCCTTTTTACTTAAGGTATCTGTGCTGGAATTGCGTTTCCTGTTTTTCTTTTTCTTCTCATTGTTGTGCAAGCCCAAATCATCAGGAAACTCAGCTTCAGCAGTATGTGTGTAAGAGCTGGGATACTGGCTTACAACCATGCATAAAATCTTTCTTAGTCACTCTTATTCAAGATCTTTTTTTGATGCTCTTAGCCATACGAATAAACAGTTGTGTTCACCCCTCTCATTTTTTCACCCTGCAAGGTAGGAAGAAGTTGCTCACTTGGAAATGTTCTTGAGCACATGGAGGTTACAAGTGAAACTACCCAACCACAAAGCAAAATGAAGTAAATAATCGCTGATTGCTGAGCTGTTTTCTACATACTCTCTCCCAGCATGTAGTACTGCTCCTTGCAAAGCAGACTATAATGTCTTTTTTTGCTACCTAAAAATAAACCATTATTGTGAACCAAAATACCATGACATTAAAACAAATCCCAACTATCTAAGAGGTCTAAAAAGCAGTCTTCAAGCCTGTAATTACAGGAGGCACAGATGTATTTTTTTTTCTGCCAGCAAGAAGCAAATCTTAAAATTCTTAAGATTTTACTGAAAACTGAAACTTCCCCTAACATATTAAATGCGAATGAAACTTAATATGTCTTATTTGTGGGGGTTTAGCCTTACAAACTACATATACATGTATTTTTAGCACTCATGTACTTAGGAAGTGGCATACCTGAGAACAAATATCTAGAAAGACTGCGGTAATGCAGTACTTAATTATGTTCAAGTCCATTAAGGAACAGACACAATCTGACAAGAGGTCATGGTTAGAAAGAAGTTTCTGTCAGACTGTATGCAGAAAGTTTACATTTCTTATCATTTATGCTGGACTGAAGAGAGCTTTTATCCATTGTTGCACTTCTTGGCAGATTCCTATGGCAAAATTTTCATTAAGCAGATTTCCTCTTAATCTGATTTCCATTTTCATGTATAGTTCTATTACCTACATGCTCATTTCCAAAAGAGAATTCCTGTTACTTGGCTTTAGCATCCCTTGTAGTAAAAGAATGCTACACAGAGTGAAGTTAGCTACTGGGCTCTATACCAGATTATTTTAGTAGATGTGGACACTATGTAAAATACAAAAAATTTCCAGACTTGGCAGGGACAAAGGATATTTCTGAGTCCTAAACTCATACATGATGATTAATCACGTGCACCTAAGCACAGGTTTGCAAACTGCATAACAGGATGATGAATACAGCTTTTTCAACATATTTTCTGGAGGCCCATTCAACACCAATTTCTTGTGAAATAAAATGTCACTTTTTTTTTTTGTTAAATTAACTGTGAAAAATAACACATTCATAGCCAAGATGCCCAGCATACACCAAAGGAAAAGCTAGTTCTAGCTGCTGAAAATTATCTTCCCTGACACATTGCACCAATTAATTGCTGGTTTTCAGTTGCCCACGTTCCTAAAACCGCACAGACTCTTTTGCAGTGGAATATATAAAAACAGGGGAAAAAGTTTTCAGTGTCCAAAATGTGAAATAATGCTAAGATTATTCCCAAAATATTAAGAAATAGGGGAAAAAAAAACCCATAGCCTGGAAAGATATTTGTACTTTCTTCAGGAAGTACTGGATAGATGGAGAGGTTCTATAAGTAAGAATTTAATCAACCTGATACAGTTAAAAATCCTAAAATGGGATTTCATAAAATGCCTGAAAGAAACTGACTAACAATGCAAAGGATTTGTCTGAAAAAAAGGTTTATTTGAAAAACACTCAACAACTATTATTAAGGAATTATGTCTATGTTAACTTATTTACATATATAGAATACATGTACATATACAGAGTTATAATATGAATGGTGCATTACTATAATAAATCCACAGAACTATGTATTGTACAAAAACTTTTAATATATAATGCAGTCTTCTTTTTTTTGTGTGTCTGAAATTGCCTAAAAATTAAGCATGTGTAAGACATGTTTTCTCAATGAATTGCTAGTAATTTCTTGTAGGCACTGTTGTTCACATTAGTAGAGCACGTACCCCTTCTACTAGTGGTAGACATTGACTGGCCACTGCTGTTACTACTGTTAGGATCAAGTGTCTCTTTACAATTGAAGAGACTGAAAAGTTGTCTCTGATACTGAGAAGAAGCATAGTAGTAAATGAAGGGGTCAATGCAACAGCTAATGCTGCTGATACAAACACAGAGTAGATAGGCAAAGTAGAGATATTCTAAGCTGTTGTCATAAGAAAAATGGACATAATGAATTAATAGGAGAATATTTGTTGGTCCGAAGCAAATAACAAAAACAGAAAAAACAGCCACACACAAGAGCAAGGCACGTGTCTTCTTGTTTTGTTTTGTAACAAGAGTAGAGGAACTAAGACATCGAATGATACACACATAACAGACAGTAGAGATTATAAATGGCACTACAAAAAACACAGAAGAGAAGATGGAGAAGAAGTGAAGGTAATAGCCACGAAGTTCAGATTCTCTTAGCACATCGTGGCAAGTAGTTATATTTAACTTCGGTATTTCCATTGTTTGCTCTCTAATGAGAAAAGGTATAACCCCACTTATTGCTACAAGCCATATGATGAGACAAATCAGTGAGGCACGTGTTAACGTACGCCACCCAAGAGACTGCATGGGATACACCACTGCTAAGAAGCGATCGAAGCTTATGCTTGTCATAAGCATTATTGAACAGTACATATTACAGTAAAAGGCAGCAGTGATGAAACGGCACATTTTGGGTCCAAAAGCCCAGTCATTTCCAGAAAAGTGATAAGCAATCTTAAAAGGAAGCACGCTTACAAACAGGACATCTGCAAGTGCCAAATTCAGCATGTATATCACAGCTGGCTTTTCAATTTTCATTTTTTTCAGAAACACGAGTATTGCTGTAATGTTCAGGGGGAGACTCAGCACAAGCACTATGGTGTAAACTGAAGGAACAAAACGCGTCAGCCATGGACTAGTGAGGTATCTTGCTGTTTGTACTGACACTATTCGCTGGTCATGTATGAATGATCTAGTATGGTTGGTGGCTCCTGATCCAGCTTCCAAGTCATTTTCAGTATCACCTTCAGTAGGTATGCGGTCATCCTGGTGACTTACAATGGAGACCATAAAACTTCTGATCTGTAGTGTGCTGCTGTTATACAGGGAGGCTGAAAAATAAGAAATTATTGAGATTAATAAGCAAATATTTACATCCTATGGGGAAACAAAAACATCTTTCAAAAAGAATAGCTAAGATATATTAGCAACACAAAACAATGAGGTTAATTCCTGATTCGAAGTGCAGACTGCCCACAGATGTTAGTCCTTTTTATTTTGACTTCTGTTACAAGTTTGGGTAAGATGTTCTCCTTTGCCTCCTGGCTCGTGGCCTGGAAGCTTTTATGGGAGGGACTCTACCTAGCAAGTACTGAATATTTCTGTGGGCTCTGGAGACATCTTACTCAACACGACAGCCAATAAAGACAGGTGGCAGATATCTTCATGCAGTTTTCAATGCAGATGTGGTTCAACCTTTTGCTTGTACAAAGACTGCATTGAAACACTTCCCAAGTTCTACCTAACCTGCCCCACAGCACATATCCAGTGTGCCGTCAGAGCACTTTTGAAACCTGCCACTAGTGTTCCCTCTATAGCACGGTCTTTGCAGCATAGTCGTTGGCTGAGTCTGAGAAAAGAAAGTGCCAGGACAGGGTATCTCTGCTTTCTGAATGTAGCTGTAACGGGTTAGGAATTTGGCATTACAAAGTGTTGAATGTGTGGTATGGGTTTATTTCTGGGAAAAAAAAAAAAAAAAGGACAAAAATACCCAACCAACACCAAAAAACCCCACAAAACAATACCAAAAAAACCCAATCAATCAAAAGATCTATTTTGGACATATTTCAGAAAAGTTATTTGCATGGAGTCTTATTTTGGAAGACAGTTGTTTTTCACATCAGCTTAATCTAGTTAGGTGAAGAATAATTCAAAAATATTGTGGGCAGACAGAAGTGAGAGCTACTACTATTTAATCACTCGTGCATAGCTGTGCAACTGATCCTTTGTTGAATCCTAGACAACTAAAACTAAAATGAAGGTGTGTTAGCTTAAATCAGTGAGCTGAAAGTACATCCGCATGATTCACCTTGTTACAAGCAATTGTTTTTTCTACAGTAATTCACACTTTTTAATGCAGATGAGAACAAATGCGTCTGAAAGAGGCAGAGGGCAAACGAGGAGTGGCTGCAGCTTTAAGCAGGCAGTTACCTCCGTCTGTGTGCAGGCTGTGTGGGAAGGGCCCAGCCCAGCTTGAGTTTTGGTGAAATTCAAACTTGAACGTGGGGTAATGAGTGGTAGGGAAATTTGGGGATTTTTTACAGTTCCTGTGCTGTACCTATCATGTTGTCACAGCAGCATTCATGGGGCAGGGGGGACAAAAGAGGGGAAGTGTCTGAGATAATGGTTTTTGTATGCAAAGTGACTAGACTGCCACCACCGTAGGCCAGAAAAAGGATGTTGGATGAGAATTTCAGCCCAGATGCCTGTTGCATAGACTGCAGCAGGAACAATTTAGTACTTTTCCTGAAACACAAATGCACAGAAGTATTTGTACAGCAGAGCACTAAATCAATTTATACAAGGGGCTATTCTGCTGTCTAAAAAGGAACACTAGTAAAATGTAAAACTATAGATCCTTAATCTTTAATCTTACTTCAAAAATTTAGTCCAAGCAGGCAGATGGCTCAGGGAATCAGCTCCTAGTTTGGCAGTTCAGGTTCAGCACAAGCTCTATTTTACTGCCAAGATTATGTGTGCGTGATGTGGTAACGGAGGTGCTTCCAGCAAGCACTTCTCATATCCCCGTGTACCTGAACTTTGAACCGGTCAGCGTCACTGAGCCTTTATGATTGAGGTTAAGAAACTTAATGTGAAAGTCCTTGGTGGTAACCTGACCCACTTCTCATCAGTGACTCCTAACTTAGAACAGTATGACAATATGCTAAAGGGAAAAAATGATTGGGCTAGTTCTCCTTTATTGACTAGTGACCTCTGTCTTAGCTATTGCTTATAATTACTAGAACATTGATAATAATTTTAACTATATCCTGAATTCTTAGAGCTACCTTATTTACAGCTTTTTTAGATGAAAGGATTTAGAGTCTGCATTACTCAATATCAAACTTTTCTGTAAGTACAACCCTATTACAACAGTTCAGGACAAAAAAAAACATAAATAATTTTAGTTTAGTTGAAATTATCTGGTTTAACTTAGTGAAAACTATGTGTTATTTGTAGAAGCAGACTTCCTCAGTTCAGAGTTGAACTCAACCTTGATGCTGTTAACAGCACCTCCATGCTGTGTCCCTTGCTCACTCCATGTCTCCACCTTGAACTTCAATGACATGAAGTACCACTTGGAAGCCATCTCTTTGGAAAAACGCAACAAGACCTCAAACCTGCCGTTTTTCTGCCACGTCATACTACAGAGAATGGGAATTTAAACTTGCTTGATGAAATTCAATTTCATTTTAATTTAAAAGACTGATAGTCACAGATCAGTTCCTTTTTTTTTGCAAAGATGCCTGTTTGTATGACACAGCATCTGCTTATTAGAAAAAATACCAGTGCAATTCATGCTTTTTGAAATGGAAAGGAAGATGGTTACTGCCCTGAGGTTCTGAATTCCTTTTGTGCTAGTGTTTATTTGAAAAAGCTGATGATCAGAGATTTATACACAGAAAGGAAGAGGGTGAAATGATATCATATTACCTAAAAAGATACTAGTGAACTTGACAGTAAACATTAAGGTCAGTAGTGGGAAACAAGCATTACCTGTAAGTTGGGATAGTAAAAAGCAGCCAATACAGTAGCTCTACAGGAAAGATTTTAAAACTGCTCTGACAGAGCCACAACTATACCAGAACCTGTCAGATGTTCTTTTCTAGCTGTTTTAAAGCTGTAGATACCATTTGTCTACAACATACTTCACTACAGCTTAAGTAATTTCTAATAAAACAAATCAGCTGTTAGAAAATCAGAGGTAAAGCTTGTATAATGATCATAAATATTCAGACAGTCATCCTGGTTTTGCTAGGCTGTCATCCAGTCCTTTTGGAAGAGGTCAAACCGGGTAGATTACAATTGTTATGCGTAACAGTACTCTCACGGCTGATATGACAGAGTAAACAGCTCTGTCTACTTGTAAACTATAAAGAGGTACAAATGAATAGGACGAAGAAACTAAGAAAGAAAGAAAGGGATAAAGCACCGAGGTTTTATCTTCATGGTGTGCAGTCAGGACACTGAACAATACACATGGAGTCTTTTCTTTGCTTCCAGTAGGGACTTTGAGAGGCAGAAATTATATAGAACGATACTCAGATTGCCTGAACTTTTCTTTTACTGCCTGTGGTCTTTGCACTGATTCTCCATCAAGGATACAGAGAAAAGATGTAGAAAGCTCAGTAAGTCTGGATTGTTCAACAATCTATACTGTGCTGTTTTCTATTGAGTATTACATATTGTTTATCTCACGATCACCATATGCATATTCTGTTTACCCTGACACTGCCTTTTTTTCTTTTACGCAGACTTATGTCATAAATTTCTGTCTATTTTCACATGCAAGGTGCTACTGCACATACTGTTCTGGGAAAGGAGAAGTAGAGAACAAAAAATATAATGGCTTCAACCAACCATAAAAAGCAGTCTTGATCTCCAGAAGAAAATGTCAAAGTATTTCTGTAGAGTCATAAATCTGGACAGGATGTTTACACACCAGCAGTGTTCATGTCCCAGGGGATATCTTTGTGAGCTGAAAAACTAGAAAGTAGGCTCCTACTCAAACCAATTAAATTTGTGCTGCTGGACAACAATTAATATAATTTCTGGGTATTACTGCTGACAGCTGCACCCATACTGCTGGCTTGTAACAAAAGGTTGGTTTCTCTTATCTCTCCTATGTATAATCTGATAGTGATAAACATTTGGAATCTGAATTACTCACTGGCCCATAAATCAGTTACTCGCAAGCAGAATGTGAATTGCATGCCAGGCATATTTATAAACAAGGTAAATCACAACTTTGTAGGGCAGTTAACAATTATTTGCTTTTATAAAAATATACACTGGATGTCTTTAAAAAAAAAAATCTTCTTTAGCCCACACGTCTGTTTATACAGAATTTGTTACTGTATTACACGAGTAATGAAACAATTTGAACATATTTTCCTAAAGTGTTGTTTTGTTGCAACCCTAGAAGGATCCAGGGTCTCACCAGTTAGAGCACGGTTGTTGCCACTAGTTCTATTTCTAACGGAGCATCAATGAAGGTCACCTGCCTGGGGTGGATACTCTGAACTACTTTTTGCTGGTGGATCTTACAAACTTTGTGTTACCTACAAATTCAGCTGGCAGTGCATCTCCTGAAGTTGTGTACGAAAGGCAATGCCATTGTTTTGAGGAAGTCCACCAGTATGTCCCACCAGGCTGGTCACTTCTTTCCACTGTAACTTGCTGCTGCCTGGCCACCTCCTTAGCCATGGGACAACTGTAAACCGTTCTTCACCATCAGTAACCTTATCCGTGACACTGCGTTTATTACAGATCTATGTATTTGAGATCTGTGACACGTCCTTTATTCAAAATATACTACTCAAAAAGCATCTGCCTCACTTTGCTTTACTCAGGGCAACTTCATATTTCAGCCTGTTCCCTCGCCGCTGCTGTGAGAACCAAGCTAGCGCAGCGGTCCACAGCGCCGAAGCAAGATCGCTCCTAAGTACCAATTAAAACTTCAAAGCGGGAGACCCCTGACCAGGCCAGCGATGCCCTGCGTTTCGGGTATTACCCTCTGCCAAGCCGCGCGGCCCCGGCCCCGCTGCCAAGGCAAACGCCGCCCGGCCGGGCTCCTGGGGCCCCCACCTGGAACGGGAGGGTGAGGGCGCGGCGGCCTAACCCGGTCCTCCTCGGCCGTCCCCTGCCCTCCGGCGCGTTCCCCGGCAGCTCCCTCCGCGGGGCGGCGACTCACCGTGGCTGGCGGCTGCGGCTGGCGGGCAGCACAGGACGGCCAGCGCGCAGAGCAGAGCGAGCAGCGCCCGCGGCCCCATGCCCACCGGGTCTGGGGGGGGGCCGGGCTGCGAGGATCTCCGTCCGTCTGTCCGTCCAGCGCCGGAGCACGCGAGCGCAGCCGATGCGCGGCGGGTAGCAACCGGCAGGAGGCTGGGGCTGCTGAAGAACCGCCCCGGGGCGGCCGGGCCTCCCTCCGGCGGCAGGGGAGGATGGAGCGCCCTCCTGCCGCTCCGCTCCGCGCCGCGCCGGCAGAGGGGGCGCATCACGCCGCCCCCGAACCGCCCATCGTGGAGCGGGAGGAGAGCCGGGTCCCGGACACCGGGAGGGACGGGCAGAGCCCGCCCCCCCGTGCGCTGCAGCGGGGAGCGGCGGCACCCAGCGGAGAAACGGGAAGGGGCCGAGCGGCCCGGCTGGGTGAGGGGGCAGAAGGAGCGACGCAAGGCTTGCTCTTAAGGCGCTGTTCTGAGCCAAGTTTCCCAGGTTCTGTTTGTGCAGTCCCACAGCGTTACAGTTACAGGGCCAGCTGAAGTATCATTACTCTTGATTGAGAGATCACATTCAGAAAACCTCAGTCACACACGGATCTGCTTTGTATAAACAGTACCAAAGCTTGCTTGTAGTGGGTAAGTGCATGCTCTAGAAATACAGGACGACCTAAAACCCGTGCATGACCTAGGTTTGCAGTCCTCACATCTGTTCTGGCAAGATCGCTGCAGAGGTGGTGCCACTCGTGAGCTCCAGTGGCATATGCCTTGGACAGGCACTTTGTTCTGTCCTTTGATGCTGCTCCTGAAACCAGAGCTGTTTGGAATGAATCCTGTATGAAAGCTAGAGTGGAATACATTTTGTCAACTTTGCAGCTAGTATTCTGGCTCTTTTCTTTGAAAATACTTATTCCAGGATATGGTGTCCCACCCTCAACCGTATAGTGCTCTGTTTACAGCAATAAAGAAAAAAGGGGTGGGGGTGTCCATTTAGAAGTTGGTCCTATTTATGGCATGACTTTATTACAGAAGAAGCACTGAGTTTTGCTGTTAACAAAGTAAAAACAATGGAAAATAAATACTCTTGATCGCAAATACTGTTTCCCAGTAAGTTATGTTCCACAATCCTATCACTTGCTATGTTACAGCGCTGTTAGAGCTGGCTCCAATTTGTGTAGAGCAAAGGCAAGTAATGCAAGTTTAACAGCTGGCTAGCCTTTTCACAGCTCTGTCATCCCAAACACTAGGGAACCCCCACAGAACACCTTATACTTCATCATTAACTAATTTTCTTCATCTATTTAGAAAACACCCCAATAAGAGGTAATATTTTTTTCCCCCGTCTATTTGGGAGGAGCAAGTGAAGCTGTTATTTGGCATTCTGTGGTCTCGCAGCTCTATAAATGTACCCAAAGGTAACAAAGATTTTGAAACACCAAAATAGAATTGAACAAAATATGTGTGTCTTAAAATAATCATGTATTTGCAAATGTTATACCAGACCCTAGAAAAGCATGCATTGTCAGCATTTGTGTTTTTTCCAGAAGCCTTAACCAATGGGCTGCTGCTTGAGAGATAAAGCAGCCTGCAGAGTATGTAAAAGACATGAAGGGAAATGCAGGCTGTAACTGCAGGGAGTACCTTAGTTGCAGATATAAGGAACAGTCACAGGGTTGTGTTCTTTCATCTTTGTAAAAGAGATTACTACAAATATATTGAGTGAATAAAACACCCAACACCTGTGTTTTGCCATTTTTTTTAGCTGCATATGGGAACCAAATTTAAGTTAATTTTGTAACCTGTAGTCATGCAAGTCAGGCTGCTACTTTTTCTTATATAAAGTGATTGTAATGGAGGTGAAAAGTTCATGACTTTTAAAGCTTTTACCAGTTACCCCATTCTTTACTTCTGCCTTTTGCTCCTTTTCAAAGCATGTTTTTTGGTGGTGGTTTTTTTGTTGTTTGTTTTTGTTTTGTTTTGTTGTAGGTTTTTTTAGTTCCTGTTGAACACACTATGTCTACCAAAAAAGCCTATAATTGTCTGGTAAGATTGCTACATCATTACTGCATCACTGTTTGGGGAAGGAGCCATCTTCCTGCTGTGCATGCCCATGGTAGGTAGTTACTGCTCGATGAGGTTAGAATCTTATCTCAGAGGCAAAATAAGCCCCCCAGGAAGAGGGCTGTCAGTCTAGTTATGAACTTTTTCAAAATCGGATGTGGCCATCAGTTTGAATTAGAGGGAAGATTGTTATGTTGCTTCCATATTCTTTAAAAAACCCAAACAAACAAGGTTTGCAGATGAGCACAAAGTGAAACAGAACAAAGGTGTTATTTGTGATGGTGTTTCTACTTGGCCAAAGAAAGAGGTTCTGCAATTCTGTGGATAGTTTTGGAGCTTCAGAGCCCCATCAGAATGGTTACTTCCCAAAGCAAACTATGTTAGCTGACAGGCACTCTTAAGTCAACTCTAAAGACATGCAGTAGAAAAATGCAAACTGTGAGGCTAACAGAGTAAGACTATTGGCTATTATAATTTCTTTCTCTTCCTTAATCAGCAGTGGTGAAAATTGAGAGATACAGGCAATTCTTTCAGTGAAAGTTGCATTTTTATCTCCTATGGTAACAAGTGCCAAGTAGGCTCCACTCAGCTGTAATGGCTTTTTCTGCAGGTTTTGCACCAGCAATGCAAGTCTTTCCTCAAGACCATTTAATGAATGAAACTAGTTTTATCACATCCTATCTAACTTTGAAGACCCTAAATGGAGCTTACAGCAGCCTCTAGAAAGCCATTCTTTTAAATTGCATTTATCAGCTGTCGGCAGCATAGAACAGCAGTGGGTAAGCACAGAATTACTTTGCTCATTTGCATGGTACACTTAGGTAGAATCATTGTGTTCAGTCCTGTTTAGCAGCATTCACTGTTCAGTGACAAGGCCCTAAATTGAACTAGTTAAGACTCCAAAGGAGTTTAAAGAAATTAAATGGAAATTACACTTTGATGTGCGCGGGAAGAGCAGGAAGCCCAAGAAAGGGCTGGAGAAAAGGCGAGTGCTAGCATGCCAACTGTGTGCTAGCATCACATGTGTCATTACCTGGGAACCACGCAAGCTTTCCTCAGTTTATACATATCAGGAAATGACTGAGGAACATGCTGTTCACATTAGAACTAAGCAGTCACTAAGTGTGTCAAGTGTCTTATGCAAAACTGCATATCCAGGAGTGACTGACTCCTGCAAAGGCTGTGGAACTCCAGTATGTTTCACCAGCAAAATACCAGGCTTTTAACACGTTACCTCAAAGGCCTGGTCTTAGGATCAGCATCCCACATGTGCAGACATACCAGCTCAGCTAGAATTTGTCATGAATACGTAGGTATTAGTTAAGTCTGTTACACATAAAAAGGAAAACAAAAGATTGTGAGTTTAAGTCATACTCCAGTACAATTAATTTCTCTCCTTTGGAAAGAGAAGTGCAGCTTTCACCTTTCCATCCAGCTATTTTAAGTGAATGAGGGGCTGGAGCTAGATGATCTTTAAGGTCTCTTGCAACCCAAACCATTCTATGATTAGGGATATCCCTAGTAAATGTAATAGCTGTTTCAGCTTGTATAATTCCACAGGTCCGTATACTGCCTAAACTCATAGTCTATATATCTGCCACTGAAAACTCATAGTTTATGTATCTGCCACTGACTTTACACTGTTTTAGTCTACCTTCAGAATTAATATTTGTCTTATTTATTTTTACAACACACTCCAGAATGCCTCACTGTCCATCTTTTAAAATGTTTGTCATGAGGAAAGTGAAAGTAGAAAATATTTTCTCTTTGTTTACGTGTATCTATCACATTACCTACTGTGCAAAGCAAAATTATCATCACGTTCAGTGGCACAAGGGCCACGAGGTCTTCACTGCTGAACAACTCTTGTAAAGTGTATTGTGAGGACAATCAAGCTTAATTAGATTAATTTTTATAAAAGCACTGAAGGAAGTTCTTTCACTGTGGTCTGTATTGCTGCTTTAACAACTCTTTTAAATGAAATTTAGGAAGTAAGCCAGTTTAATTAGGCAATGTTTATTTTACATAGAACAATCTTCAAAGAATATTAAAAACCCCAATCTAAATACTGATTTTATTGCATTTATTTTCTTGCAATAATTAAAAAAAAAAAGAAGAAGACAGGCACAATTTACGTATTCAAATACTTCAAACTGAACAGTGTATGTTCACTATCCAGATTTCCCCAATGCCACTCCAAAGGCTGTGAAAGTAGAAAATGTCATTTTACACAAGGCAGTAGTGCATTTAATAGGAATGAATCACAAAATATATTTTTGTACAGTAAGAAGTTATTGTCAATGTATAATTACCTATAATTTTTTTTTTAATTGCACCAAAAGTTTGCTTTACAATTGACAACTGCCACGAAATAGGCTTAGTATGTAACTATTTGTCCAAACTATCCCCTAGAAACAAATTAGGATTTCTTTTAGTAAAAACTTAAAGTCTAATAAGAACTATATTATATATCTGAGGTCATTTAGAATGTTTT